TGTATTATTATGTTCAATACAACATAAGTTTGTCAACGTGTCCACACACGCCTGTCAAAGGCTGTCATCCATCCGTTAACCACCCGCACCCGAGTATGCAGTTCACCRAAYGGGATGTACCTAACATTGACAATGYKYAYGGCTAAACTGCATGGGAACCGTCCATGCTATTGCACAGTAAGGCRGATGCCATTTCATGTTACCGCCTTCCCGGAAATCTACAAAATCAATGCCACAGTCATGAGTAACTCGCACGCACTGTGTGCCCTGCCTGTTCRCGCGAGCAGCMGTCGACTGAAACACACATCTTTTTCAAACCCCACCCCCACCCACTCCCCCTCCCCCACCTGCCGCACGGCGCCGCCTTTCTTCACGAACCCACGCTGCTACGTGTGGTGTCAGCGCATTTCTTAGGCAGTGACCCGCTGCCCGTGCCTCGCGCACTGTCAATCCCTCCCCTGGGGGTGGAGGCGGGGGTTCCTCGTCGCATTCGTCTTCGTCGTTGTCTCGTGGCAGCAAATGGGGGTCCGGCTCGACGCCGAAGCGAATGAGCACGTTGTGTATCACGCACACAGCGCGGAACTGCAGCGACAACAGTTTGATGTTGGGCTTGTGCGTTCGGAGGAACAAGCGCCACATCCCTTTCAGCCGACCAAACGCCCGTTCCACGCATCCCCGACACGTCTTCTGCTGCGTGTTGAATAGATCACAGTCAGATCCCGGGACCTGAGGCCCCGTGTACGGAACGACGATCCAGGACAGACCGGGATAGCCATTGTCACCCAGAATGTAACCCCTTGTCGAGACACCGCCAGGCAGCAGGTACGGTTCGGAGCGAAACAGTCGTCGTTGCTCAGCACGAGTGAACATGGAAGAGTGGTGCAACACACGTGAGTCGTGCACGCTCCCTGCCCAGCCGACGTTGACGTCGTAAATCCGCAAATCGGCACCGACGATGATCTGCGCGACTACCGAAAACCTCTTGTGTCGATCACAGTAAGCCGCCGCCATCTCCCCTGCAGGCTTGTCAATGTAAATGTGTGTGCCGTCTATGGCTCCGTAGCAACGCGGGAACCCCTTCGACTCAAACATCTCCATTGCTTCGACRARACGCTGGCCAGTGGGGAAAGCGACCTCGTCCGGGTAAGCCCGCARAATGGCCATASCCACATCCTGGATGGCCGCACGGCCGGTCTCGCGGCCCATCTTGAAGGATGTCGCCGAGTGTTCGAAGGACTCCCCCGTCGCCCAGCGATACAGAGCGTAAGCAACCAMCTGCTCGGGCGGAGTTGGAGCACGGTATTTCGTGCACATCCTGATCAAGTGTGGTCGCACATTTGCAACGAKACCCCTGAACACATCTTCWCCCATGYGTATGTTGTCATGAAAATARTCTGCCCGGGCATTGTCCGTCCGTGTCATGTTCTGCCATGCCCCCCCRGCCCTCGGCTTTACCCACCATCGYGGAGACGATCGTGGGAGAAYACCRGCGGCCAYGATAATGGCCACCAGGAATCCGCCAAAAGTTGGCAAAYCGCCCGCTCCCAACAGACTGCCRAAACCGGACAGCCGCCTGTAATGACAAGCGGCGAACATCGCCCGGATGGTATGCTCGGTCTCCTCTTCGTGGTGCATGACAGCAACTGCAACAGCTGCCACCAACACAGCAACCCTTTGACGCCATTGTGCGACGTAGTGGTGCCGCACACCGGGCCTCTTACTCTCTCTCTCTCTCTCTCTCTGGTGATGGCCGAACACGAAGATCTGGGGCAGACTGAGCAATCGTGTCCACAGTGGCTGATCGCGGGTTCGCCGCTGCACCGCCCGTCATCACTTCGCGGCACTGCCCCGTCCCCAAGATTTATGACTGCGCGGAGGGCGCACCTTCCGCTCCGCGCAAGGAGGCAGACCGGCATTCCCCGTGTTATTGCTGCGCGCCACAAGATCGCAAACACACGAACGGTCCGATAGAGCCCATCGGAATAAACAGGCCTGTGCGGAACGCGCCCGGCGGAAAGCTGCGGGAGGACGGTCGGAGA